CTTTAATACATACTTATAATTTGCAATAATCAGATCAGGATGACTGACACAGTTGCAAATATTTAATTGCCATGACTGTTCTCTAAGGTAACTTTTATTTACCATATAGCTAATACTTTACAGGATATTCCATAAGACAACTCAAGAAATAAGAACTAGAGAAATTCAGAAGATACACACAGTCTCTGAAACCAGTGGTTTTCTAAATATTCTAACAATAAACGTGCACAAGTTTTCGAAATTAAAAGTTTGAAAACAAGCATGTGGAAAGTACAAAAATAAATTTGTAATAATCAAAGGTAAGGAATGAAAAGAAATGTACAGCATTCACGTAAACTAATATGCAAATGACTTTTTAAAGAAATAAATTACAACCCCCAGGTCTGGCATGTCCATGGAGAACACTTATTTACACCTCCAGCTTGGACTCTGCCTACACTCACCTCATTTCCAAATGTGCCCTTGGAAACTGAGAACACAGTACAGAGGGAATAGCACCTCCTTTTTTTAAACTGAAAATGGTGAGCTTCACATGGGCAAACTCTCTCGGTGTTTGGCCTTTCTTGGGCACTGCTGTAAGTTTTCTCTGGGTTTTTAACAGACCCACTTCTTTCAAGGGATCTCTCAGTACCACAGTGAAGGGAACTTAAGCTGGCTGCTTTTCGGAAAGAAAACACATCAGTTTTTCTCTGGAATGCTGTTTCCTTCGCGCTGGCATCATCTACATGCTTCTTCCTCCCTGCGCAACACAGAGCTCTCTCTTTTTCTGAACACTCCTCATGCGGTGCACTCTCCTGGACTTCTGTTTCACCCCCCTTCACCGAGGAAGCGCTCGCCTCACAAGAGCGACTGCTTGCAGCAATGGGCAGAAGTCTCTGTGTAACCCTGCCAGCCACAGCTCCTGCTGTTTGTTGCTGAAAACCATCTTCCAGGGTGGGGCTTGGGGCCTGTCCTCTGCGTGGAAGAGCTGGCTGCTCCCCTGAAAGCTCAATGTCGCTCTTCTTGCTTTCATTTTCCCTCTTGTGCTGTACCAACTCTGAGTCACCCACAATCTTCTGGGTTGGTTTTCCTCTGAAATGCTTTCTTCCAGAAAAATGTTTGTTGGGGCTCAGCGGAGCTTTGGCAGGATCTAAATACTGCTCTTCTTTCTCAGCTCTCACACAGCCACAGACATTCCCCATTTGATCTGAAGGAAATCACAGCTTTACAGACTCGTGGATTTCAAAATCGGAGCTTCCTCTGAAGTCCAAACCCTTCACGCTGACCTCTGATTCCTCACAGACCCTGTGGGCAACTTCTCAGCCTGTGGCCATCTTGCTTATGGGAAAAGCACACACGAGCAATGCGGTGGCACCCTGTCAAGTCCGGTCACTGGGTCTCAGGAGACGCCATGGCTTATTTCTGGCCACCAATCCTCTGAGACAAACAACAGCGCTGCTCCCTGTCAAATTAGACACTGGAGACTTCCGGGGCAAACCTTTAGGTTCACTGCCCGAGAAGATTATGACCCTCAGTTTCCTGAAATGCAGACACAGAAGTCTGCACTGACCTTTGAAACTACTGACGGTTCAACAAATCTGAGTGCAAACAGAAAGCAAACACCAGTCAAGAGAGAAGCAACAAAGTGCCTTTGGAATTCAGTTTCAAAGTGCCTTTCACATTGCCTTAGGCAGCCTCAACCATACAACGTTTCTTCTTAAGAAACACTACCCGGTTTTTTAATATGCACACAAACAAAAGGCTTGAAAATCTTTTAACTTATATTAACTCTTACTCAAAACAAGCATATAAAAATGATTCAATGATTGGCAGGAGAGATAATACTGAATGCTTAAAACACTAATAAAGTCTCTAAAAAAAACTTGGAATATTTGTCAAACAACATAAATTTCTAAGCCATTATCTGATCATTAGGATCTTCATAAGAGCCAACAGATGGATGAAATTACTTAAATTACTAGCCAAGAAAAACACCTGCACATTCTTACATAGGCATCAAGGCAGTTAAACTTTGGACATAACCTTTAAAACTCTAGCCTAGTTAAATATTATATGCAGCTTTAGTAGAGCTGTGCTGGGTATCAGTACAGAACCTGATTGGCTAAGGTGTGCATACTTTCAACACTGAGTCAGAGACATGGTACAAAAGGAAATTAGTATGATAGAAAATGGACTTACACAAAAGCAAAATCACCTGACCATAAAAAAATGAACTGGTAATAGCCTTTCTCTGGGCAGTCTTCTGACTGATCAAAAGATGTGACTGTGTGTATTTTACTGCGTAAGCAAGTTAACAGTGATGGTACAGATGTTAGTCATGACCCTCCACCGTAAGGTTTTCCTTAATCATTTAAGAAGGAAATTAAACAATCTCCACTGCCAAAAAATAAATATCCTAGAAGAGTGGTGGGTAAAAACAAAATCTTAACTTGGTTGGTTTCCCATTAATTTGATTTTTAAAGTATTTATAATCGATATAGCATCATTCAAGAGTATTTAAATGTATCCTGAAGAGTTTGTACTCACAATATAAGACAGGCAATCTGTGACTTGCACCATTCTGGCCCTGCCAATCTAAGCACCTGTCCATTGTTAGGCCACACATACACTGTTCTGTTCCTTCTTTTATAAATGGCCCAACTTTAGTATTTGCCTATTAGCTGGCATTCCTCCTGCAACACTTATCTATAATGTATGTAAAAATTTAGCTTATGCTGTAATCCATTCTCAACCCTATCACAATAATTTCCCTCCCATACATTTCTATTTTTATTTGTATCACACTACTGTGTGATATAATATATTTATCACCCTTGATTTTGGTTAATTTTCTGAACATTCCCCTAATACACAGAACAACATATGCCATTATCTTAATACCTGTGGGTCCAACATATGGTGGCTGATGATGTAGGTTACCAGGATGTTAATACCCACCTTCAGGCTGCCTGACTGAAAAATAGATTCAGTCTGCAATGTTTCAAATATATGATTTTATGGTAAATAAAGGGATTTTTTGAAATGAACTCTTTTTTGTGGAGAATATAGAAGGAAAAAGCTCAGTCACTCAGTGAGGCTAATTACCACTGTTATAAACAGCTTTATATCTTGGCATAAGCAGAAACTGGCTCTTACCTTTAGTCACAAAAAGTACTAAGAAAAGTTATTTCATTTAAATAAGAAAGGATGCTTCCAATTTAACCAAAACATATCTTGGTCTAATTTTTAAGCATTGGTGACAACAGTCAATACACCCTGGGATTCAGAGCAGACCACATCCCGTCAAACCACCTAGAAGGGCACAGCCCCCTCCCCATCACCCCCATCCCTGAGCAGTCTGCTGTTCTTTGGTCACCCTTAACACATCCTCCTCTCCATCTCTGTACCCTGTGGCCACTCCCTTTCTTTCTTCTTCAGTATCAGCTCTTGGATTCAGCCTTTATCCCTATCTGAGGTTTGGCCTTCATCCCTGTATTCTGAGATCTTCACCTCAGCTTCTGAGTTTACCTCCCTAACTATAAACTCTGCTCATTTCTATTTTATATTGAATTGATTTGGTTCCTAAAACACAACTTCTCAAGCTTAAATTACTTCCATCATAGCAACGCCATTCAAGCTGTAAGTTAAAAAGTAAAACCCTTCAGTGAAACCTTAGTCATCTCTTCTTCTACGATCCAGGTGCCTTCTACACCCTAACACTCAAAATCCAGACACCATCTGCCACTGCAGCTCTGCAGTGATGAAGTGACTGGCTCCCACCTGTGACAGGACTGCAGTTCCTGGAGTTTCCCTATAGAAAGTGTTGAGGCCTAATCCACTTAAGGAGAATTCAAGGTTGTTGAGCGGGCTACTGAAAAACTCCCAATAACATTCACTTTGATGCCAGTTCTATTTGGACCTCATCCAATTTTGGGACGAGGTAACAAGCCTCAGCCCCTCAGGTGGGGCATCTTCTGTGTGACTTTTACAGCCCAGCAGATCTCATTCACCTTCATCAGCTACCCTGAATTCTGGCTAGCTGATATGTTTTCTCCACTTACCTAGGTCTCCTCCACTGCCCTACAACTGACACTGCTTAGCTGCTTATTCCAGTCCTGGAACTCACCTAGAATCCTATCCTGTACTCTCTGCCTGTCAGATATAGTCAGTTCCCACGTGAGCCCTATTATTTTGCACCATTCCCCTACAAACACTGTACTTCAGCCCATTTTTCTTTAAGTCTTACTCTTCTCAAGATTGGGTCAGACCCTACCCCCTTTTAGAAACTATTTTCCTCGTCAAGGGCAACTTGCACAGTGATCTAGATGTTCAGTGTCTGCTGCGGGTGAGGCTGTGTAGACAACAGAACACTTCATAACTGACAGGCAGCTAACATCCAACACAAGCTCCATAGGAATCACCTACTTCAGTGAAGACTTCTCCCAAAGTTTATCAGCTGATAAAAACTCAGTCAGAATCAGTCCTCGTCTGGAATAAATTTACTAGATAATAATTCATAGTAAATAAAGTTGGACTCGCTCTCTCCTCCAATGGTCTTTGAGAAAGCACAGAGGTACACAAACACACACCTCAGAACTCTGCTTCTCTGATCCCTTTCTTTCAATTCTACTGCCACCTAGTGTCAGCCACAGGAAATATGTATACAAAACATGCAGAAAATACCAACGATTGAGTCATAAAATAGTTAGGTGTAAAAACAAGTTAATACTATCCAAATAGCAAAAGAAATATAACACAATCAATAAAAAAGAAATCTGTGTCTTCCAACTCTAAGATTAAAGGTGCTTTCTTTGAACTCCATTTACATTCCTAGAGAACAGAAAGAAGAGACGCAGAGTTCATAAACAGCATGTTATTTGAAAGATAACTCATATACACTGTTTGACAAAACAGCCTGAAATCTATTTTTACATGACATAAAACACCCTTCATATGAACTACCTAAAAACTACTGATTAAAAAAAAGCTTTAAAGTGGTAATTAAGGAAAACTGGGCTTACCTGAAAGTGCAAAATTATTGTCCATATTAGTCCCAAAGTTAATTTAGGATTTCCATCTGTTATATCATCATTTCTAATATTCACTAATTTCACCTGTTTTACATGTAAATAACAGACTGTTAACCAAATCAGTATACAAGTTATTTTTTATCTACATGAAAGCAATTCTAAATTACATAAACACAATAATCACTAAAATACTATTTTATCCTTACCTTCAATTATTTTACATAACAAATTACAGAATAGAGTAAGCACAACGGGAAACGCACATGTAAGTACTAAAAATATTCACTTGTCAAAAACGTTTGGAAATAATTTGTCTTCTTAAAATAACTTTTATGTTACTCTTACCATTAAATAGGAAACTATTCTGAATCATAAGATCACTTAAACAACTTTGCACATCTCCATTAGAGGATTTTGAAAATCACTTCTTTATTACTATACTATAAATGGTATCAGTCACTGAGTATTTTGAAGGCTGTACAAATAATACAAATAATACTTATATATACAGTCTTAAACTGCTATTTTATATATTTGGATGAATAAACAAAATGAGATCTCTAACACTTATTCCTGGACAAAAGAATCAAATATCATGAATTACACACCAAGAATTACACAGCACGATAGCTAACATTTTACCGTTGGAAAATTATTACCAAGAACATCTCAGACAAGGGGGAAAAATTACTACTAAGCCTCCTGAAAACTTTCACTAGAAGGAAAAATAATGAGGCAAAAGGCAGTGCATTTGAGATTCTGCAGCACTGAGCATTTACTGGTACTTAGTAACTAAAAGCTATTCAATGTGCTTATTAAACTAATTGAAAAAAATAGTAAAATCTGTTTTCCTCTCTTCCTTTTCCTTTTTTCCTAACCCACTAAAAAGCAAAATTGTTACCACCTCTGAGTTTTCATTGTTCTCATTAATTTTCAACTCTGGTATTTTTCTTCCTTTTTCCTCATTGAAAAATTGTCAAATCAAAATCCTATTCATGTGGTATTCTTTCTTTTCCATGATTTTTCCTCTATGCTCAGCTAGCTGGGGACTTTCAGGAAGGTTCCATTCTCAGTTACTCATAAACTACCCATTACTCCTGCTATGACATGAATCTGTAAATGGTGTGGAGGGCCACCTCTCAGGGAGGGCAGGAGGCCCTCAGGTAAGGGGCTTAGGGACAGCTGAGCTCCCCCTGGTTGGAAGTCTTTGAAACTGGAAATTGAACACATGTGCAGGGCTGCTGCATGGCCCGGGGAAGACAAGATAATGACCGAGGATACCAGGCTCCAACTCCAATTAAGTAAATAAAGACTGCAGCGCAGGCATCTCACCCCTGTAGTGAAATGCAACATGGAGATCTTCTCCTAAGACTCTTCTCCTTGGTAATGTAATTTGTTACCTACAAAGTCCTTGAAACACTCCCACGATCTGTTCGATTTCCTGTGTTTTCCATTCTAACCCCCTAAATAAATAAAGGCTGTCCAGAGGCATTGCCTGTCTTAACCCTCAGAGTCTCAAACTCTACTCAAGTGTTTTGATCCTCCTGGAGTCCTAAAACCATACCACTTATCTCATTTATTTAAGCCTTCACTGTACACTAGTTTGGGAGACTGGGGACCTAAGCCAGGTCCCCAATATCCTCTTGTCCCTGTCCCTTCTTGTCAAATGAGGGCATAGTGCTCCCCACACACTCCCCAGAGCAAAACCTTCACCTGACACAAAGGCCTTGAATTTGGGTGTCAGCCTCTGGAATATGAGTCATTCCTGGGGCTCACCTCTGGTATTCTGTCCCAGAGGAACTAAATAGCTATCTACTCAGAATACAGAACACTGCTTCACCACTACTAAGCAAAACGCATCTACAGAAAGTTTTCTTCAAGTATGATGCAAAAACATTTTATGAAAGTATACACTAAATATAAAAAATAAAGCACACATCCCCCTTACCAAGAACAGTTTACAGAAACACTATTTATAGCTAGGCAAGTGCATTCTAGTTCAAAACAGGAAAATGGGATGAAAATGTAGCCACCTATATTTTAGGGGATTTAGCTCAGCAGCATAAGTGCCTGCCTGGTAAGCACACAGTGGTAAGTTTGATCCCTGTACCAAAAAAAAAAAAAAAAAAGAAAGAAAGAAAAAGAAAAAAGAAAACGAAGGAAAAGAAAATGTAGCCACTTATAATTCCTCTGAGCTTTCTCCTTGTTTGTAACTCCCTTTTCTTGCGAACAAATGTTTGAGAATAAGGACAGGTTCATTATCACAACTGACAAACTTTTTCATTCCAACATATCTCTACATATATTTAATCACAAATATTTGATTATTAGAATCTGAAAAATGTCATACCTGGCGTCTTTTCAAATAGTCCAGTGCAATTTGTACATTCTGTAGTCTGTGAAAACGCATCCGACCTTTCTCTCTGGGCTAAGAATAGAAAAATGCAAGTATAAAAACACTAAAGTTGAGACCAGTGACCATGCAAACTGAAATACACTTTTTGCTTATCTTAACATATTTTTAAAAAGCACTTACTATATAAGCTCATAAGACTTTTGAGACATTTTTCTTTGGATTATCTGTGACTGAATTTAAACTACTGAAGACTTTCTGAGTACAATTTAAGTATATACTTTATTCCAAATATTTAAACACAAGGAAAACAGAAAATCCCAACAACACATAACTTTTCCTGGTCACTTAATGCATAATTCTGGCCTACAGATTTATCGCTACGGATACACAAAAATAACAAAGCATCATTCCTCACTTTACCTTCTTAATAAACACTATTAGCAAAAGAGTTTATATATATATATAGTATTATATATATATATATATTATGTTAATGAAAATGAGGTATAGTAGCATGCAGTTAGAGTAAAAATTACCAAAGAGAAAGACAGGTTTACATAGCTATCATAGAAGAAAGAAAAGCAACTAAAACCATATATTTCCTCTTTATCTTATTTTAGCTTTTTCACAAAGTTGGACTGTATAGTAAGCAGAAAGGACTGATTTTACACTACATGGGGATGACAAGGTTATTTTCTCAGTCTCAGGAAAAGTGACAGACCTTAGTCATTTTTTAAAATGCTGTTTCCTTAAGAAATGATATAAATTAGTAGAAGGAAGATATAAGGAAACAGAGCTGAAATGCTTAACAAAAATATAAAAAAAAAGAAGCTGAAATTTGTCACACAAAATCTTCCCAAGGGGGAAAATACAAAAAGTGGCTTCTTAAACATGAATGGGTTGCTGAAAACCAAAGATGCCATAATAGAACAGACAGAAGACCACAGAAGGAAAAACAAGCTCTGTGACAAGTGAAACTGATATTGATAAATGCACCCACTGGATCCAGCAAAGCACAAAGTCCAAAGGAATCAGGGAACACTTGGGATGCAGATGACAAAAGCAGCACATCCTCCTTTAAAGGTGGGTGGACACCCACTACATGTCATGGAGAATAAACAGCACGGAGAGTTCTATTAGGACCCTAGACTCTTACATCTTCCTCCCTTCTCAAAACCGTAAGACATTATTAAAGAATGCCCATCAAAAACCTGCTGCCAGCAGGTACAATTTAAAGTAGAAACCTAAGTACCAAATAAAATCTCAGTAAGTCCCTTCAAAAAGAATCAACAGTTCCCACACTTGAAATATCAATTCCGGAAGTGGAATTAATTTGCATAAAAATGAGCATGATAGTTTTATGATTTCCACATTTACATACCATGTGTATAAAATTCTTCAACTAAAATGCCATCATATACTTTAAACAAATATGTGCAACTACCATGCAGTGCACAGTAGTACATAAATAATTTGACTGATTCATCTTTCTGAGGATAAACGTAAAGAGAAAATATTTCCTTGCCCAATATGATTCTGAGACACACATGTCCACTCTGTAGGTGGCTGTGGTTTTCTGTGTTTTTCGGGAGGAGCCTAAAGCCGTGAGTTACTTCTCTATTGGGTTAGCGCTCACCGCACTGACCAGCTGCGTTAGTCGAGTTAAGGGGGACACCTACCCCCTTATCCTCATCCTCCACATCCTCATGCTGTTCATATGCGCATGCGTCTGTTGAACTCACCAATCGTAAGGTCTTCAAAAAATCTCGCTCCCTTGGCTAATAAATATAACAGACAAAAGATAGGACAGCAAAGACACAAGACAGACCAGAAATGAAAAGAAGAGCATGAACAGAACATAATGAGGGGAATAGGTAAACAAGAAGGGAAAATAATGTTCACAAAAAAAAAAAAGGAAATGACACCTGCAGAATGGGTTAGACCATTTTCCAGAAAGCAAATGCTTATTTCTTTGCTATTTGTAAGTCTTTTAATATAGGGTTATACTTTGCATCCAACTTCTGCTAAGCAAAACAACCCACAAGTGGAAAAGAAGCAAGAACAAAAATAGTATTTTAATTATTACAGAACTGATTATATAAGCAAATTAATCAAAGTGCTTCAATCTCTCAAATTCACATCACTTGAAGTTGGAGAATGCTTAGGTATCTAACCAGAATTTTTACTTTCTGGCAGAACTCACAGCTCAAAGGATAAATACTGTGAAAATCAGAGAAGTCTGTGTTGTAAACACAATGTTCATTTGTAAAGGGTTGATTACACGAGCTTTGAAATAAATGAAGAAAAATAAAACTTACCAAGGTATCTCCCGAGAGAACCTCTAAGAGAGAGATCAAATTGTGTCCGTCCCTTAAGTCTTCATAGAGATCGTTCACATGTTTTCGAACCTACACAAAGAAAAAGCAAAACTTTTCATTGCAGAACTCAGAAATTTCCCTCATATTTTTAAAAAAAAGAAAGTAGAAAACACGCCTCAAATAGTTATTTTTCTTTTACACTCTCATTACTTAAAAATTAAATATAAATGTAAACACTAGTGAACATGAATTTCAAAATAATACTTCATGAAGTCAATCTCGATTATTATGTCTTAACATACTAATATAAATACAAGTACTAATAATATATAAATATGACTACATGTGGCTGCAATTTTTTCAAAAACAAGCAACACCCTAACTTTACCCATGATTCCTGACCCGGCACAGAGCCACCCCATCCAGCCTGTGGCATTTCCACTCACCCCACCCATCCACCCACCCCTTGGCCTCACTGCCATTGCATTGGTAATTGGGTCTGGGACACTGGGATACACTTAACATCTTATAAACCCATACCTGTGAGCTGGGGGGAGGGCACCTAAGACCTTGCACCTTTTTTACAACTCCCTATGTACCTATAATCACTTTAAAATATAAAGTTTTTTAAAATCCATATATTTCTGATTAGAAGACCCCTGTCCAAGGTTTCCTCTACACAACATAAATCTTGGAGTTTTCAAAACTAAGTGATATAAAATCAGCATGCAATCACTTTTGCCGTTCTGCAGGCCTGATTTAAAACTGCGACTGTAGACCTCTAGGCCTGGCTCAGTCAGCCCAGCAGGGACAGCTCCTAAATGACCAGTCAAAGCAAGGCAAGCACAGCTGCTGTCCCTACTATCTTCCCATCTGTCACAGACGTGGTGGTAAGAGAGGAGCAGGAATCAAAGCCTACTGACTGCACCTGCGGCCTAGGCTTGGTATGCTTACCAGGATTTGTAAACTCTGTAAGTATGAATCCAAACCCTTTGCACCTCCAAGACATCAGGCAAACATACAGCTCAAAGTCATAAAAAGACTTCAGATGACCATGAAAACCATTTGACCACGCAAAACAAGAAAAGGCCTGGTGTGAGCAGGAAGCAGACTGGCTTTCCATTTCAGAAAGGCAGGCTAAACCCATCCCACTGCATTACCTTTGTCACCTGTATGCATGCTGTGCAGTATCTGTTTCTGGTGTGTGTGTGTTTGTTTGTTTGTTTGCAGTGTTGGAAAGCAAAGTCAGGGCCATATGCCAAGCAAGTGCTCCTGCTGAGTGACACTTCCTGCATTATCTGCTGTTAGCCTAAGTCACAGAAGTTTTCAATATTCAAACATCATCTGGCATAGTTACTTACAAATAGATAAGTAAATCTTAACCTTAGGCTCAAGAGCACAACATGAAGTCACTGCTAAAGTCAACAGTGCAATACCTAGATATGGCCTGCTTAAATGGAGGGAAAGGGTCAGTTATTTGCAACTGTGACTCCATCCTAAGAACGGTAGCCATGCCAATTTCCTGATTCCCAAAGGAATTCAGTTACATCTTTGTTGTCATAAACTTTACTATAGTAAAAGAAAGTTTTAAAACATTTTGTTTTTAAAAATCACATTTTACACAATCCTCATTTTAAAAAAACACTATATATTACTGTACTCCAAACATATCCAAAGGGATTATCCATTCCATTAGAATAGTTACTTTGAGACAGAACTAAATGACAATCCTCTCAAGTTCTCAATTTAAAGACGAAGTTCAAGGACCTCAGCATACACATACTCTTTCTCCCTCTCTCCCTCTCTCTCTCTCTCTCTCACTCTCTCACGCGCACACACACACACACACACACACACACACACACACACAGAAGCAAGGCACATTAGCCCCTAATGAAATGAGTACTAGGTACTACAGTTTTCTACTTGCACATTATAGCACTGTAAAAACTCACCCGCTCCCATTCCAAGGTATGAGCTTGAATTTATAAGGCTAAGACCTACTTAAAAACAAGCCAAAAAATTAAAGCTGTGAATATTTTATACATTAAAAGCACCTAAATCTACATACAGGGTGTGATCAAAACATACACTGAGTAACTGTTCAATTGTTTGATAATTTTTTCATGCCTGTATCTTGTAATCTGAACTACTTTGAAGATAATATGCAATGCATGAACCACTGTTTATTATTTTGTTTTGAAATTTTGTATCACTAGTTTTATTCTTTCATTTTAAAATAAAAGGAAAACTGACACAGAAAATAAGAATAACTACTATTAAAATATATAGGGAATATTTAAATTGCTTTAAAAATTATTAAAGATATTAAATTACCACAAAGATACTAAAAAATACTTGCTACCAATCCTTCTTACAACATTCTCCCTCACTTTGAACACACTTGTTTCATTGTTCTTGCCACTTTCAGAAGTGCTTTTTTTTTATGTCTTTAGAGGGTATGACCAAAAATACAGTGAAGGCATCTATCTCCAAGCACCACCTGACAGAAAGGTGGAAGTATGGTGGGACACGTGGTGCAGGATGAATGGGGATGTGTTTTTACTATGGTTCATAATCTAAACCCTGTTGTCTTCAGTCAGCGCCTCTCTATCCGTGCATCTCCCAAGCAGCCTCACTCTCGGAGCCTGGACCTGAGAGACCACACTGTGTAATAACACCACGCGGCCAGGAAGCTGGGGCCAGGAAAGCAGGCACGAGGCCTGCCGGGCCACCAGCAACAGGTGCTCGCACGGCAGCACCAGCACGCTGGGGACCCTGGCCCAACCCCAGCTCACTCCACAGCTCGCTTCCGCATCCTTCCGCCCCAGGACAGCTGAAAGCAGGGCGTGATTTTACACACTTATTTCACAGGAAGACAGTGTCACTGTGTGCTTTGCCAGACTGAATGAAACATTATGTTAAAAAAAAAAAGTTCTGACGCCAGGTGTCATTTTCCTTGGTTACATTCATAATACAATAAAGAAAAATTAAATAAGGCATGTTTAGAAAAGAAAAATGATAATGTGGCATGAAAACCCAAATTAGGAGGAAAGAAAACTTACTCTAAGAAGTAAAAAAAGCATTCAGAGATACACATTTCAGTCCCGTTTCTAACAATGGCCTTAGGACCCTAAACCAACTGCCGAGCTTCCCTGGCCTCAGTTTCCTCATCTGCAACAGGGAGGTTTGAAAACACAAAGCTTCTACTTTAAACCGGAGAACAGCAATCCTATGATCTCAAAATAAGATGATAATTTTTTTTGGAATTAACAAATTGTCAATTTTTTTAAAAAAATAGTAAAATGGAAGCATAGTACTCTTAAACTTTATAACTTAATTTTAGAATTTTAGAAGAAAAACAGAAACAAACTACTTTTTGTACAGTACTGCAAAATGTCCTGGACACTGCTACCCTCTAACACTGCCTGTTTTTCTTGACTTGCATGACTATTCTTAAAGGGCCACAGAATTACTGCACTGCTTTAAGCGCTCGGGGCTATGGGCTGGTGGAGCTCAGGGCAGAATGTGTTCCCAGTCGGCCTTGCAGCCTGGGCTGCCCTGATGCAAACAGCAAGCACAAGGCATCACCTCCTTCTACAGCAGTACATAAGGCGATGCACTAGGAGTCAAGACGAGGCTTCCGACCTGAATGCTAAGTGCTTTATAATCACGCTTGTTTCCTTACCATGAGTGAGTGGGGTGAAAATAGAAAGCTGTTCAAAAACTTAAAATTCGCATTATATGAAAAGGGGGGCAGCGAATGAACCAAGGGTAACCCTGGGGTTCTGGGGAAACGTCCCACAAAAGGAGCCATCAAGGAGACACAGAAGAGAGGGACTTAGGAATTTAAGCCCACAGGGCAGAGGCATGCCCCGCACAGATGCCCTTGGTCTGAGTCATCATCACTTGGCCTGGTTACTTTTCTTCACAGATGGCTATGCTAACAGCCCTAGTCTTAACCTTCTGTTTTCTATTTTCAATAAAATATTCTTCTCTTTTTGGATATTTTTCTTCCTGTGGGACAAAAAAAAGTCTGAACAAATGGTAATGAGCAAACTAAAAGCACTGTGGGACACCTAGGATTCGATTATATAACTCAAGTTACATAACAAGGAAAAAACATTTTCTGTACTTTGCAAAATTCTCTCAGAATCTTGCTGAGCTCTCTACAAAGGATGTACCACACTGCACTATGGTCTAACCACAAGGGGTACTAATCTAGTGATTAAAAAATACTCTAAGAAAATAAATACAGACGAAACGTTCTGTGGGAGGAGAATTCTAAACAAGATGCTGGTAATGACAGGCAGTATTTCACATTTATTTTGAATGTGAACAGAGTACAATATGCCAGGTTTGTATCATCCAGATAGACTGATTAAAAAGAAAAAATACTATCCAATAAATAAAAAGTACTACTTTAAAACTTCATTTTGTTAATGCTTAATTAAAGTTTGGTTTTACATGGGCTAAACTATATTCACTTTTGGAGAGGAGAGCATTCAAGTATTCATCTAACGTTTAAAGCCATCTATTTTCTCCCCAGTGGTGCTAAGCACGCAGCCTACGGCCTCTGCACTGAGCTGTCTCCCCTGCTCTACAGTTTATTTTTTATTTTGGTACAGTGCCTCACCGAGTCACTCAGATTGGGTTCAAACTTGTAATCTTCCTGTCTCAGCCTCTCAGAGTACTGGGGTTACAGCAGGCCTGCACAACCATGAGTGGCTCAAAACTCTATTATCACAAGTCTGACTTTGCAGAGGTTCAAGTTAATCTAGATAAACTCCACAGGAACATTTCTCATAATGAAACCATGTGGCTGCGGCTTCATGTATGTCATCAAATACTATTGAGCACCATAACCTTTAGGCCTAACTGTCAACTGGCGAGACTTGAGACTAATAAAGCTCACTCTGGGTGTGTCTGGGAGGGCCGTGAGGTGGGCCCTGGGCTGCTAATGGTCCCTGCCCCTTTCTCTGGTGTTTCCCTGCTTTGCTTCTAGGCCGCCATGAATGTCAGCTCGGCTTCCCCTAGTCCTTTGCCACAATGTTCCTGCCTTGCAGCCAGCTGACCATAGATCGAAATCT